GACTTACACTATCTTGAATTTTTAAATGCACCAGTTTTTTTGTTTTATATGACTTATTGCTGCTTCAATATCTAGCACACGATATTAACCTACTTTCTGTATTGTTTATAGGCTCTGATGCAAAAGGAGCTAACTTCTTTACCAAAACATAACCCAGTTAGATGCCTTATGGAATCACTATATAAAATCTCACTCATCATGATAAACAAAATATTAATTTAAAATACAATAGTTTTCATAATAGAGGATGTCACTGTGGTTTCTTTTTTAAGGGTCACGTATAATAGAATTAACAAAAGCCGTGTTGCTCTCTCTTTTATGTATTTAAGCCCCTTTCCACTACGCAATAGTTATCCTCTTTTAATTTACATAAACAATCTTTATATTTAACTTACATAAAACTCGCATAAACGTTTAAATAACTTTTTTTTTAGCTCGGGGTGAGCCTAATAGGTTTAAACATATATTGCATACCTAATAAATATAATAATTTGAATATTTAACAAAGCAGCTTTATACAATGCCAGCTTCCGGAGTTGTCATATTGGTTATCTATACGAACTAAGGTATATAAAACACATAACAGTGTTAAAGGATTCTCTTTCAGTTTAACGACAAGTTATCACAGCCTATCCCCCTGCACAGTATAAAAATCTTTGTAAAGCAGGTAAACGCAGGCGTTAGCAACCATACCAACTATATAAACCCCTTTGTAAGAATAATATAAACTGTGAGGAAGTAATGCACCGTAACGAAAATGCCCAGAGTTATAACAATTAAAATAAATAGCCGGCCTATAAAAAATGGTTTTCCTAACACGTCAGCAGAATCCAATACCATTTTATAAAGTTATTATATTTTATCTATTTGTTACTATTATGATAAGCTGGTAAAATTGCGTATTATTCGATAAAAAGAAAGGCAGGTTGCAAGTTGACATTTATTATATATAATATAAAAGCGCTCAACTTCATGTGGACTTAAAGGTGCAGTAAAAAATGATTGATTTGCAAACTTTACAGCAATAATAGCGTTAAGAAGTTCATAAAACAATATTCCACAGTAAAGAAAAAATATACAATATTTGCTAAAGAATTACAGAAGCTACTTTAGTGAGCATCGAAAGAAAACATAATATTATTTGCATTGTTATTATCATTATTATCGTCATCGGCAGAATCACTATGACCACCACTATTATCATTACTATTATTCAGACTTGGCATATCCTCTCTGCCTACATGTTTTTTAGTACGAAAACGCCATATACGGCGCCACCATGAATTTTTCTCAACGGGCGGCTCAATTTCCAAGCCAACAGTAAGGGCCATATCTTCATTAATGAATTATTAATAGTGATAATAACCATAATAATGATAAAAAATAACCATTGGTTCTAGGAAATAAGAGGGCAACTTCCTCGTCGCTAGTATGGGAGGGACAAGGCGAAGACGGGCACGTGTCCTCCTCAGAAAGCAGCCCGTAAATATTCAACATGCAAATGGGGCAACGCCTTTGGTCGGCCAGCCAAGTGTCAATACACGATTGGTGGAAATGCTGGCCATGCCCACAAATGAGTTCTCTCTATAAAAAAATATATTTTAATTGATAATGGTTTTTTTATAAAAACTAAAATAGATAGAAGTATAGAAATAGTACTAGTGTGTATTTATAAATAAAAAACATAGTGTGGTATTATAGAGACCAATAACTGTCCCTCTTGAAAATCTTGCAAGCAGATAACGCAAGAAACGAGTGTGTCTTCAGCATCAGTAGGGGCTAATTAATATCATAAATGATATTAATAATCTTTTAAGCTCAAAATATAAAGGTTCAAGTATTTACTTTCGGCGCTTTACACGCGCACGCAGAATAACAAAATATAAGATTTGTATAGATAAGATTTTTTAATTTATTTTTCATTTATATGATTAATTATTACATGAAAGTTACTATTTTACAAAATCTTATTAATAAAAATGTTAATTACTTTAGATCAAATAATGTAAATCTTTATAAAAGTTACGTGTACGACATAAACGAATGTATAATTGTAAAACAATTACACTTGCATTCATTTAAAAAGAAAAAAAATTAAATAAATAAACTCACCTTTTATTTGAAAAATAAAAAATATATAAAATCATTAGAAAGTAACATAATTGTAATCCATATTTTAAAAAAAAATTTTCTTTTTTATTATAAATGTAGTAAAATTAATATACTGAAAATTGGTATATATTAAGATTATAAAAAATTAAATTTTAGAGATTCTATAACACTTTACTTTTTTAATAAAGCTTCTAATAGCAATAAATTTAGAATATAATTAAATAGCAAAGATCTTATTAATTATAAAATTAAAAATAAAAATCATAATTATATTTTTTTTACATAGTAAAGTATAAAATTTTCTTATTTATAAAAAATATTAGAAAATTATAATATTTTTGAAATAAAATAGATGTAATAAAGTGTAAAATTCTTATGTTATCCGTTAAATATTAATTATTAAGCTCTTTCCTCTAATAATATATATAATATCTAAAACTTTTAAAAAAAAATAATAAAAATGTAAAATATAGAATATACATGCATCATTATTTAGAGTTAATATGAAATTAACTCTAAATAAATTATATATCTTTTTTATGTTAATTAATATAAATGGAATACAAAAAAATTACTTTTCCTTTAAAATAAAATATAAGTAGAATCCAAAATTTATTATAAAAAATAAAATTTTTATAAATTTAGAAATTTTCACAAAAATATGTGGCCACAACATAAATTTATATTATAAACAACTTTAAATTTAAAAAAGATAAAAATCTTAATTTTTTTGTGTTATAATATATAAAAGTATTATTTATAGTAAGTTAATAAAAGTAGAACAATTAAAAAATAAATTAATAAGAGCTTAAATATTACGTAACTATAATAAGAATCAAAAGTAAATATAAAGCATTTATATAACAAACTACGTTTAAAATTTCTCTACGGAAAAAATTTAATTCAATAAAAATAAAAATTTTTTATAACCAAGTCAACCATTTTTATATTTAAAAGTTTTGAATTTCTTAATCTTCTTTAAAGTTCTCTCGCGCTTGAGTGCTTCCCGCCGTTGCTGTTCTCGCTGCTCCAGCACACGTGCGCGCCGTTGCTTGAAAAACGTAGCCAAAGACACCAAACAGAAAAAAACTTTTATAAAAAAATTACTATAAAAATAAAATATAATTTCATAATTTACTTTAAAATTATAAACGTTTATAAAAAAAAATTTTAAAAATAATTACAATAAACGTAGTAAAAATTTACTTTTATTAACTAGCAAAATTAAAAAAAGCTATAACCTAAAAAAGGGTACAAAAATAGGCGAACAAAATATTAAAATGTGCAGTATTACAACAAATAAAGTAAAACTTATTAAAGTTAAATGACAATAAAGTTGCTAGACAGATTATTTTCATTAATTTTACTAAAACAACAAAAAAAAAATGGAATGGTTTTTCACATATAAATTATTGATCTAAAATTGCTGAAAAAAAGTAATTGTATTTTTTAAAATTAATAAAGTAAAGATTTTAACCTGAAATAACCACTAAACCCAAACTTCCTTTAAAAAGAACATCTTGAAAATCGTCCCAAGGATTAACATTTTTAAAATTAATATCAAGACGTACTTAATTAATAAATTATTGAAAATAGAATGCCTACAGCTAAATAAAGTCTAATAACCTCCGTTAGTGTTTATAATCAAACGCTTTAAAGAAATAAAATCTATGGCCTCCATAAAGATAACGGGAACTTGTAACCAACCCAGACTTGAAGTCAAAGAAACAGAGTGCCCTTAGGGTTTATTATTGTTATAAACAATAATTAATAATAAAAAATATAAGAAATACACAATACCAATTATCACAGCGGAGGCACCAGCATTCTGTAGAGCTTTCACCTGTCGCTCAAAAGTACAAGTTCCTCCGCCTTCAACTAGTATTATATATAACAAAAGGAAGTATACTAAGAACATATATATATAAATATAAAGGACCAAGAGCAACCCAAAGTGAATCATGACTGAAACTATTGACCTTAAACGTTAATCTTAAAGGGTTTATTTGATTAAAGGCTTTAGAACAAATTTCTTCAGACGGCAAAAGTGTAGGCGAAGCACCGTATAAATTTTCTAAAATGCTACCTTGGCTAAAAATTCCCTGTTAAACTTAAAATTAAAGAAAATTATATTAAAAAAAAGGTAATTATACAGTGCCTGAAAAGGCTGTTCAGTTAAGTACTGTAAATTAACATAAACAAAGATCTCGGCACAAGTTGCTTCAGAGTAACTTTTTACAGAACAAAGTGCGATAAACGTGCAAAGTAACAATACTCTTGCCATATTTTATGATAAAACAAATATATGAAACTAGAAAGGGTCATCCAACCGAACAGTCAACAACTCTAAAGATACTGGCAGCGGACAGCAGAAAGCCTTCTACAAGCAATAACAATTGCACCGGAAGTCTCTTGGATTCTAGAGACGCCGAGTTAAAAAAAGAAGTAATAAAATAAACCAATCATATTAGCATGATATTTGTAAGCAAAACCTTGGTGACGAGCTCGTAAATGGTTCGTTTATGGCTATTTTATCATTTTAAAACTTAATAGCTAAATGTCCAATTAACTTTAGCTCTTTTTAATCGTTCATTAAAACCAAGTAAAATTAGGTATTTAATAAGATTAAAAGATTATCTTTTAAATATGTATACTATAAAATGTTAGAAAGCCCGTTAAAGTGGATTATATAGAATTAAATGGTCTAAGTTTTTTAATTTCACAGGTTATTATGATACAATTCTAAGGCATAATGAATCTGTAATAACTTTACATGTCGTACGTGAGAATGGCATTGAAGTCTTTGATGTTCTAAACTCTTAGTGCCTTAATTTCGCAGATACCGTTATATTAAAACTTACAAATAATAGCTCGCAGTTTAATTTGTTTCAAAATATATTGTACTATTTTTTACAAACCATTTATTTTATAAAAGTAAATTTTTAAGATCGTCGTTTCTGTATTAAAATGCTAAATTAGAAAGACTAACGTATAGTTGGGGGGTTTAAAAAGATTTTTTTTTAACTCGAATTTTTTTTTAATAGTTCCTTAGATTTAGTAACTGCATTTTATATTCATGTATTACTGGCGAACCAAAAAAAATGTTATATAGAGAGTAATCATAGGATGAAAGCAAACTTAACTTATTGTAAAAAACTTAAAAATTATATATATTGAGCAAAATGACTTTGTATTTTAATTAAAGTTTAAAAATTAACTGAACTTGTAATCTATTCGCCGTACACCTTTACGTAACTATATTTAAATAAGGTATTGCATACTATTTCTAATTAAATAGCCGTTCGGTAAGTTCTGTGCTCTACTTTTAAAATAAGACACGTCTATAATGGAAAGTTAAGTTTATTTAACTATAAAATTTAGAAGAAAAGCTAAATACTGCATTTCATATTACCGTACTTTGTTATCAAAAGAGAACTAAAACACTTTTATAAGTGAATGCTTCCGTTCTTGTAGAGGCATAGCCACGCATTTACACCATTTTTAAGTTATAAATTCCTTCTTTTCTTCTATGAACCTCGTAAAGCGTGAGAGAGTTTAAATTTCTGCTTTTTAAACCATTAAGGTATTGACAGCATGCTAACAAATATGAGGATACACGAAACATATTTATTAAACGATCGGCATTTATATTTAATAAATTATAAGCTTTTAAAAACTATATGGTAGTCGCTTACTATTAGAGTCTCAGAGTAGGCCTTTGAATAAGTAGACCACAGAAATGAGAGTCTAATAACTAAGACGAGAATTTTTTAATTGTAACGAACGCGAAAAGCTATGTTACTTCTATAAAAATGGAAACGTTTTGTAAGCCTAAAATGAAGTTATATATATGTGTATAATAAAAAATGGACAGTAGGGTGCAGACAGAAGACGAGGAACAGCATGCGAGCATAGAGAATACAGACGGGCCGCGGCTATCTACCTTTGCAACTTCAAAAGTAAACATCCCCAGTTTCGTGCGATCAATTCGTTAAGAGTTCAACCAACATCTTTGACCATAGAATTACTCCTTCTAACCTGTCCCTTTAACATATTGTAATCAATAAGCGAAAGGATAATATGGTTACCTTCGTAAAAATGAATATTTTCTTATACGTAGTATTTAGGATATATAGCTCGCAAACTCTATATTTTATCCAGCATACCTGGTCCCAGAATTTTTGAAAGATTCAGAACGACTGCCCAATTATATAGGATAAAACAAAGAAAGTCTGCCTACAAGGTCTTCTTATGCAGTTAATTTATTTAATATATTGGTAGCATGTAAGGTATCATTTTAATAATAACTTTTTTAAAAAAATTTTTAATTGGGAGTTCAATATCCATCACAATTTGTGACGCTAAAGCTGAGGCACCACAAATCATAATCGAGACGTACCGTCTCCAAGTTTTATTATTACCTTAAAGAAGTCCTATAATTTATGATTTGATTCTTTCTTAAACACCAGTTTTTAACGCATCCAATTTTGAAAACCCATATTAATACCCTTAACACTTATTAAAACCCCCCCCCCTCCTCCAAGATCAATAGTTAACATGTAAAGAATGCGTATTAAAAGAAATAACCATCCCTTGGTATTCTGGATTTTAGGAAATGCGTACCTAAATAACCTGTTAATGCTCTTAGTATTAATAAGTAAACTGATGATTAAAACTACTTCAAATTTTCCGAAATTCCATTAATATCTCATTTTTATAAAAGTTTGGACGTTTACGATTGGGCCCATATTTTTTTACCTTAGTGGTTAACTCGGGAGTAATGGCTTGCACTTTGTGGAAAGCTACGCGATCCTTGTGTATAGCCTATATGGTGAAGCGCGTCTTGGGTCTCCTTTTAAACGATCTCTGTTCTGGTTTTAACCTTTTCTTATTTAGTTTCGTTCATAGTTTTATTAGCTAATTCTTTTTCTGTTTCATAAATTATAATAAATTGTACTTTATAGTTTTAATATGTAACTTTGACGAGCTTTATATCCTTCTTAGAAGCCTTACGGATTTTAAGTCGTATCATTGAAAGGCGGTAAAAGCATTAGAAAGATTGAAAGCAATTATTTAGAATTCTTCTCAAGACGACAGCAAAATGTTGTTTTCTTTTCACTAACTCCCTAATATGCACTAAACAATATGGGCAAATATAGGCGAGTAAATATCTTTGTGACTGCAAGAGAAGGTGGGATGGAAAAAGAAAGCTATTCTTTTAGTAGAGAAATAAAGTATTCTGGTTATAAGAATAACTTACGCAAAAAGTAGCTAAAATCTAAAGAGTTAGCGCGAGGCCGGGCCCATCCCGCTTATGTTCTTTATAAATATAGTAAAAAAAGATAAGCCCGTTAACAGTTAAAGTAAAGGTTATATGGCTGTAGCAATAGGAGTTTTAAGGTACATGCAGACCTGAACGAAATAAACCACTATAATTTTAATACTTTTTGAAAACATCCTTCCAAACGAGGGGGACGGTGAAAAAAGCGTAGCGTCTATTTAAAAATAGTATGTAATAGCTTGGCATTTTTTTAAAATGCCTCTAAAATTTTTACATGAATTCGTATAATATTACATCTCATTCGGAAAATAGTTTGAGAGGTATTAGGCCTCTCTTAAGGACACAAAGCGATTTCACAGAAGTAAAGAAGCGAAATCAAAGCAAAATCATAGTCATTTCACGTCATTCGACAAATGAATTGTGCGCTTAGAAGCAGGTAAGACCAGGAATAAAGGGTATCTATCAACTTTGGCTACAAAGAGCGTTAGAGACAATTGATGGTTGCTCATAAAAAATTTAGCTGGATATTGTAAAGGATGCTCTCGTCACTGGTAGGTCAGCCTAAGAAAACCAAGAATAGAGAAGTAAAAAGTTACTTGAACTTTATACTATTTTTTAGGCAGAATATTCGATGCTATGTCCTTAAGCAAAATTTCCTAAAAAAATTCCGTACAAAATACCAGCTAAAATTGTCTTGTAGGTAATAAATGTTAATTTTTTTTGGTTGTACTTAACCTGTTTCTATTTAGTATTATCATTTTAGCAATCAAGGCGTTAACGACAGCTTTCTTATTAAAAGTAAACATCAAAACTCTAGTTATTAAAATTTTTTTTAGCTTGTCCTACTATATTGGATTTGGCTTATGTAAAATAAGCACCCTTACGTTATTACTGTCAACTTTCTAATTTTCAGGCACGTTCGCGTTTATATATCGGATATACTATTAAATAGCGCTATGATATACTGTATGTTATTATATCTATAGGATTGTAACTATCTGCAAGGTTTTCTTAAAGTCAGCTAAGTATCCACGGGGGTCTACTTGAAACCAAACCTCTGCGATCCTTTTTTAAATTGCTAGGTCGTAGACGACAAACGAGCAAGAGTAAAGAATTCAGCGAACAACTACAGGCAAAGAACAGCACTAAAAGAGCAAACCCCTTACTTTATTTATTCATCGTTTTGACATACCAAAGTCGTTATATCTGCTATAACTCAGCTTCTTCTCTTATTATGTAGAGGATTGAGAAAGGCAGCCTCCTAATAAATTTAAGGCCTTTCAAGCCAGCCCCCACGAAAAAGGAAATAAAATTTAAAATATTATACCATTTGATAAATGTTCTAAAGTAGTTACAATACTCGCTTTCCCAAGATAAATCTAAAAATGTTTGTGTCCTTTATAATTTAAATAAATGCGGGAATAAAGTTCCTTCATAGTGAGTAAAACATTTTATAGCCCTCCCAAGTCAATTTCACAATCATGATGTAGCTGAAAATTCCACACTAACCAAAGTGCGCCTATCAATATTTTAGGGAGATTGTTTTGAAGAATCCCGAGGTCTGTTTATATGCTAAGTGGACCGATAAGACCTTGAGACAGGTGGTAATAACAGGTCTGATAACAACTTTATTTATAGAGTTTATTTTCAAGATCCATATGACTTCTTTTGCATATGTGGGTATAAAGCAGAAGTAACCAATTTTTTTAACATAATATTTAATATGAGGCTTCCATCTAAGTCTACAGTCAATAAATTACTTAAAGGTATCTTACTTGATTGCACCAAGGAATAAATGTTTGCAATAGAGTTAGAGCTTTAAATTTATTTTTCCTTTTTCTTGGTAGGGTTTATCGTAAGTTTCCACTTTGAAAACCGTTTTTAAAGTGTATAAAGGCAGTCCTGCATATATTTTATAGCTAATGCAGTTGATTTTGAATTATAATATATGGCAGTGTCGTCAGCGTATAGAGTTAGGAAGACTTTATTAGTAGGAAAGAATGCGCATGTATATGGGGAGAACAATAAAGGTGACAGTAGAGGGGCTCGAGGAACTCCAATTTAAGAACCTTGGGGTCTACAATTCTCTTTTTTTCGTACAAGTTCTATTCCAGAGAAATGAATACAAGTGCATAAGGTTTTCTGGTCACTTTCACATTATCTATTTATATAATAGACCCTTAAGCCAGACTCTATTAAAAGCTTTTTAATTTCTAGGAATACCATAACCGTTGACTTCTTGAATTAAAGGCTTTTATATTGTTTTCTACGGTTATTAAAAGTTTACTGAGTTTTAGGGTGTCCTCCTCGAAAACCAAATTAGTGTGGAGGAATGTATTGTTGTGTTTGCGAATTTTTGTAATATGGGAAAGTTTTATGGTTCCAACAATTTTGCCAACAGAGGAAAGAAAACTACTTGGCCCGAGGGTCTTCAATATAGTTGCTATTTCGATTATTTTTTTGGTAAAAAATAACCTTATTGTTTCACTTGTAGGAGAGTAACGTTGATAGAGAATAGAATTAATTAGTTTTTTAAGGTAAACACAGCCACTAGAAGACGATATTTTAGCATTCGATTTAATATATTCTCAGAGCCCCAACTTTTCTAAATGTTAATATTACCATATACAGTTTAAACTTTTTTTTCATTCATAAACACTTGAAAATTAATAGTTAATGCATCTTTGGCTTGCACTGAGGAGACAAACTTTCTGCAAATATGTTGGTCTTTTCCTTCTTTGGTATAAGTAATTTCTCCTATATTACTAAAAAGTGGTATATCAATTATTTTTCTTTTGAGTTTAAAGAAGGTTTTGTTGTATACCATATAGAATTATCGGAAGGATTTTTTAAGACCGCAGCTACTTACCCCTAAGCTTGTTATAAGAAGCAGTTAGCCTCTCGTTTAACCGTATTACTTAGTTTCTAACCCGCCACTTGAGGCTACTCTGGCATATATATCCTTTCCAACTAACAACTCTGCAACCCCCAGCACCTAGAGAAAAAGACCACCACAGCTCTGCTTAGCGCCTTTTTGTTAAATGAAAATTTGCATTCGTATGGTTTACCACGCATTTTTGTGGTTTTCAATTATTTTTTTAAATGTTTACTAGTCATTTTATATTAAATGCAAATGGAGCTAATCAAAATCGAGTATATTACCAACTGTAATTTTTTAAAATATAATCCGAACACCAATAATTGCCTAACCTAAAAGGCAACTAATAAAGTGTCTACCCATTTGTTTAGTTAATAGCGATTACAGTGTGCTACCTATATTAAACAATATAAGTAAATAATTTTTCTTCACTATTAACATAACTTTGGACATAATTTAATAGGATTTTTGATAGTATGATAACTATTAGAACTAATGGTATTTCCAAAAAAAAATTCGGTATAGGAAATATTACAGGTAGTAGTGCAACACCAGGTACTACTACGACGCTGCCTAGCGACTTTTAATTATTAATGCTACTTACTTTTCCATGGGCCAGCATGTTTTTTTCTGGCCCACATATCTTTTTACGGTGTTTAATTAATTTTTAACACGTACCACAATTAAGTATATTAGTTAAATGTATTTATAAAACATATACTAACAAGTATATTAGTTAAATGCATTTATAAAACATATACTAACAAACAATCTTGATATCAAAGCTTTAGAGCATCTGAAAAGTAGGTCTTCCTTGCTTACTTTATTTGTCTACTTAAACATATGTCGGTTTGTCCCATTATTAAACATACCCATTAAGGCACCAGAAATGTGATCAATCAAACAGGGTTTACTTATCTGTTTACAGTTAAAAAACGGGTAAAATTAATTTCTGGGTTTTTTAAGTTGCCTTATTTTCTAACTCAATTCCCGAATTTAAGTCTACGTTCATTGGTGTTCTTTAAGGTATAGGGAAGGATATATTTAAAGTTATTTACAATTTTATGAGGTTTTAATTTTTCATGTTAATTTAACGTATTCTTAAGAGAAGAGAGAATCATAAACTTCAGACCCAACATGAAGGAATCGGATAGAGTGGTAAGTTATTAACCACTGCGCCCTTAACATAATTCCAATTGGTTAACTCCAGTCTCTACTCTCTGTGTAGAGACCCGACTTAACTCCTCAGCCAGCTATAACACCGGGTCATAGCCTGATAATACTATAAAGGTTAGTAATGTGCACAGAAACAGATATATTCTCCTTTATAAAGCTATGTCTAACACGTCAACGGAGCCATTTGTTGAGTGATGCGCGGGTTTAAAGGGAGCTAGAAAGGAAAAACACCACTATTTTCTGCCCAATGTTCTAGGATCTTTCATTTGGATCATCCTTCTGCTATTCCATTAAAAATGCTTGCTATTTAGGTCTCCACAAACATTGACCAGGTTATTATTGTTAAATATTTTATATAAGTTCTCCTTTAATAATTCTTTTCAAGGCGACTTATAACAGGAAATAATATTCGCTGAAACAAGTCTTTTAACAGTGATGTATAAACCGGTAGTCTCTAGAATTTTAAATATTGGTAAAATTGATAAGGAGTGCTTTATATGTCTGTTAATAAGTATAACTACGCTTCTACCTCTCATGTTTTCCTGTCTTGGCCATTATATATTAAAGGTGAGAGGTTAAACTTATTGCCGTTTTTCTAATGGGATTCTGGTATTATAATGAGGTCAAAATCCAATCAATTGGTCAACTCCTAATTCACTTTCTTTATTTCGTATGCCGTCAACTCTCCAGGAGAATATTTTAATATGATGCTTGTTATACTTAATAGTTCCATTACGATTATTAAGGATAAAAAATAAATCACTAATTAATTTATTATCTGGGTAGCTTTCGCTACAGCTAAAGGGTTGACTCTTTGCTTAACGATATTTTATCGAGACTAGTCAAAGGTTGTGTATGTTTACTATTTAATGCATGAGCGGAGCTTCCCTAGAAGAGAAGAGGATTTCCCGAATTTGCTATATAGGGTTATCAGAATGGTTTTTTTTTCAAGAGGCGGGTTTTTATGGTAATAAAAACAAACTGTTTACACATTTGGGTTAGTCATTTTTATGTTTAAGGCAGGATCTGGAATCGTGGTTTTCTGCACATATTACACGCTCACATTGGGAAGTGCAGGGTATATCGGATACCCGATAATTGGTATCGAAAACAGTGACTATTTCTACCAATTTTTATTTAAAGATCCCATTAGAACGGAAGTAAAATCAATGTTTTTGACTTTTTGTGTAAAACATTTGTTCTTAAGTACCTTTGCTATTACGAGGGGTGAAGAAGTTCTGTTTTAATCATATTTTCTCATTCTAAAAACTTCAGTGGGATGATAGTCTTGATATTTTAGTTCTTTCTTAACTTCCTCTATATTCATTAAAAGAAATTCACCGCGAAAAACAATATTGTTTTTTTCGAAAGGGAGGCGAAAAGTGTAATACTCCAAATATTCTAAAGTTAGAAGAGAAGTTAAAAGTTTGTTGCTCACTAGGCGGGAAAATCCGCATTGCAAGCTTCCAGTTCTATGCTTCAAAGTTCGAGCTCCAGTTGTTCCTGTTGCGAAAGATAACAAGTAGAATTTTAAACTTTAAATGTATATTAATATTATTTACGTTATTACTAGTACCATTATTATTGGTTGTAATGTTATTATCACTATGATTACTATTAATATTGTTATCGCTAATAGTACTGTAACGGGTTTCATGAATATCTTTATTTATTAGTACTATCCTTGTTAAAACACCTATTATTGCTATTTTTATAATTACAGCGGTTAGCATATGTTAAGTTGGATTCCTTACTAATGCTACTTTTATACAAATTAAATTATTATGGTGGTTTTTTTCTTATTAGAGTTAACATTATCTTTAGTACTGTCTATAACGAGATCCAACATTCGCTATTCTCTAAAAGATTTATTTTATACGTTTCCCTTTCTTCTAAAGTTTGGAGAGCTTATGGATTAAAATCGGTAGTGAAAATGTTATTATTAACTCTAACGGGTTCTTTCCGTTTTCTAATAAAATTTTCATAACCTTTTTTTTTCTTTTTCAAACTGCCATACTTTTGTTTCTAAAACTTCTGCTCCTCCTAAAGTTCTTTATTTGCGGTAAACAAAGTGGCGATAAGTTCTTGTTGTTTGCTGCAAGTAGAAGTGAGATCCATAGGAGGAAAGAAAATCAGAGAAAAAAGAAATAATAAAATAAAAGTATAAAAATAAAATAAATAAAATAATAAAGCCAGTGAAGAAATAATAATAAGAAATAGATAAATAAAAATAATATAATTGAAGAAAAGCTTTATTGAGGAAGTTGAACGTTTTGAGCAAAAGTATACTTTATAGTAAGGATGGCATCTCGTCTTTTCTTGCTCGCCTCTTAGGCCCTCTGCCCTCTACTTTAATTTTTTGAATTTAATGAGTTGTACAGATGCTCGGTAATATAGAGCGCAGGCTGCTTGATCTCGCAAATAACTTATATTAGGCTTAGATAATATTCAATTTCGGCAGATCTCACTATAAACTTTTTAAGTATATCTATAAAGGTATAACAAACTGTAATTGTGTACTTGAAGCGCATCGCGAGGCCTTCGAAATGGTTTGGATGCCTACTAACACGTTCAAAGGAAATTGAAGTAGCATTTCGGAAAAAGACTTCAAGTCGTTCCAAACTCAGGTCGTTAGGTAACGTGTCGTTCCCCACGAAGTAAGGTGCGCCGATCATGAGCCAGAGGAGTTTGTTTTGCTGCGTTTAAAGGGGGTGCAGCCGACGATGGTTTTTCATGTCCAAGCAACAGAAACGTAGGCCATACCAGGGCAAATGCATACTTTGTAAAGGCGCGGTTTATTGTGCAGGGACACTGTGCCTTTAGCACACAGCAGCGGATAGAGGGGTGTGGATTGCATATTGGCCTTAGTCGTGACGGACTCTACGTGTTACTATATGATTTATTTTATTTCATTTATTTTAGTTCCATTTCAGTTTTAAGTCAGTTCATTTTATTTATTTATTTAGTTAGTTTTTATAACGCGTTTATATCTATATATATACTAGGTAATAACACTATTCCATATAGTACTAGTATCATAATAGGACAAACCTACTATAGTAACTAACACTATACAGCACCGGCCAAAGCGAGCCAAAGGACAAGGTGAACTCGAGAAAGTAACCGACAAGTTAGTCGCTTATCGATGATTACGCCAAAGTATTTGGTATGAAAGCCCCATAGGATCTTAACACCTTCGATAGTGAGAGGCGGAGGCGAGTGATGCATCTATTTTGAGATGAGGATTGCTTTGCTCTTCATTTCATTAATGGTTATACGCCCTACTGCTGACACCAGTAAGCAAATGTTTCCAACTAACGCTGCAGGTGTTGCCGTATAATGAGGAGCTCTTGGAGGACGCGTAAACTGCAGTGTCATCGGCCTAGAGCGCCCCGCGGGGCGGATAAAGAGTTCGCAGGGAGTGGGATATCTCGCATGTATAGCGCGAAGAGTAGGGACAACAGCAGAGAAAATCTTACGGACACCAGCTGTCAGTCGACAGTATGGCGACAGCGCAGCTTCCAACTCTCACTCGAAAGGTGCGTTTTTTTTTTCCATAGAGACGACGCAAGTATGCTCCTTCGAGGAATAACCCAAGTTGTGTTTGCTTTCTTCATGGTCTGGGTGGCCCTTTCTTGCTGCGGCCTCTATGCTAAACTATTTGTCCTCGTGGGTCTGTTTTAATACTGAGTCGATCTGTTTTCCCGTACAGTCTTTGCTCTAGACAATTGTCTTGTAGTTCTTCAATACTTGTTCTGTTCCCTTAACTTGTATCATATAAAAGAAAGTTGTACACTTTTACTTAGATTATTTATTACATATTATTCTTATAGAGCACGCCCAGGTATCTTCATAGAAGTGGCGTTATCTTTTGGTACGTAACAGATACTACTTGCATTAGATTACCCCTCTGAAACACAGCAATAACTCCAGTTTCGTAGAATATCGCTATGGCCAATTTTTCTGCTTAAGAAGAAAAATAAAAACACTTATAATAACTCTTTAATTTCTTCACTAAACAATAATTAATACCTGCCTCTCGTAAAGACAAATAACTTTCACTATTGTTGGCACAGTAAGGGCTACTGCCATCTTACTATTCTTACTTCCGTGAGATTTAAGCTTTTTAAGGAAGTAGATCATCCAGAAATAGTATGTTGGAACAAACATCTAAGGAACTCAATGGAAATAGTGAAATGTTGACACCACCGGCGTTCGCCTTCACCTCACTAAAGCAAAATAAATTTCCTACATGTAGTTTGCTGCTATTATAATTAGTGCAATAAATGGTTATATGAAAGTTGCAAGTTATATATTTCAATTATTACGATTGTAATAAGGTAAATATCTAAAAATATGAAAATAAACCAAATTAACCAACTTTATTGTCTATTAGAGTAAAGTTAAATAAAACAAATATTGGTAGACAAAAAACGTTTTAAAGTTTTAATATCTGTTATTACTGGTTGTGAAATAGTAGAAACAATACCACTGACACAATATTTTGAAGATTTTGCTAAGAATGCGCCGCAAAGCTTGTCAAGTAACCATAACATACATGTTATTGAAGATAACACGCCATATCCTTACACGACTATTTCTCCAAAACACTATCATATGGGGGCTTTTGAATTTAAAAAATTTTTGGTTTACATTATGCTAAAAAAAATGAACGACTCTTACTAAGTTAAGCTACCTAATGTACAAGAAAAAGTAAGGGATGTAAAAAAGGTGTCAATTCTTTTTTATTGTTTTAATAATTTTACAATATGAATATATAAATTTGCATCTCTGGTGACATTTTCACTTTGATAGTGATAGAGTTGTTTACTGTTTAGATAAATCTGGAAGTGTACACTAAGTATTAATTTTGACCTTAGGGACGGGAAAGTGGGCAGCTGTGTCGCCTTCGAGGAAGTTTATACTATGTTTTTTGGTGACTAAGGTTTAAATTATACCACGTGTGGAGGTCAACACATCACTATATAATATGATTACTAATTTTTTAATTATTATAAAATATATTTACATATTATACTTTATACCTTCTTTGTCAAATCTTCAGATTGGATAAATCAAGCATATTGCGTTTCTATTAAACATCGGTGCCTTGTTAGGTTACATTACAGATTTTAGGGAAGTTATTGACTCCATAAATTACAGCGTTGCCACCATAACTTCCCTTGCCCGTGTGCCCAAAAGTTTGTATAATTAAAATTGTTATATAATTAGTTAATTAGTTAAGAGGCGTGCAATAAATTATAAAGATTTAACAATATTATCATTAATTGAGATAAAATAAATTTGATTAACGTATGAGCTTAAAATTGCATGGAAACAAAGATATAAGATCTAAAAAGTGTACTATATTCGTGTTTATTTAAAGCTTTCCTTTTACTATAAATCTTTATTGTATGAATTTCTGCCGCTACCTACTATGATAACGGGTAAAATAGACTTGAAGTTCTGTAAGCCCCCTTTTACTAGTAACTTTTAATTTTTAAAAAATTACTTATTTTATAATGTATTGCATAATGCCCGCCTTTTCTAAGGTATAATTAAGAATTAATATAATAAATTTGATAATAGAGAAGAAATGAAGATAATATTAAAACCAATAGACTCAAATCATCCAAACAGTGTTAGCTTCTCTCTAATACACGAGATACACATTTTTAAAGCATATGTTTATCAGTTTTGTCGATGTTTATTGCCGAAATTTAATTTTTTTTTTTTTTGGTTATATGTTCAGAAACTATTACAAGAGCAAAATTACACTATAAGAGAGCTGAAAACTGAAGTTTTTACCTTTCAACAAGAAATTGAGGTCCAAGAATAAACAAAAAATATGATAAACTAAATTTATAATTCTTTTATTATACACGTAGCTAGCAGTGAGGCAAAGCGATCAAGAAGATTTAGAACTTTATAAAATGAAAGCTAGGAAAAAGGATTTCGAAATATTATTGCAAAAACGCAGGTATGAAAGCAAACAGTTAAAACAAGGTTCAAATTCTTGTAATAACGGCTTTTATTAAAGTCAATTTTTATGTTTTTTGGCTTCATTGAGAAGATATTTGGCTTACCTCAACTCTTTTAAAGAAATTTATATCGTTTGTTGACCGCTTAGAAACGCGAAGGAGTAAAGTTTCAAAGTATATGAAGGAGAATAATTATCTAAACCTCTAACTGTAGAAAGTAAAATTTTTTAACAAATAAGTAAACTAGAATCTACCAGCTCAAGATTTCAGGCTATCAAACACCAAGCTGAAGAGTCTTCTCATCAAATTATCAGGTATATAGCCATATCCATAATTTCAGCTTCTACAATTTTAATAGTTCCAGAGGAAATTTAAAAATTGAAATTGAAATTCTTGAAGGTAAATTGGCTTTTTTAAGGGATGACAACTCTTTATTGTCTGACCATATCTGTAAATTAAAAGAAGTGGTATCTTATTTTTAATAATATATTTATTACACCCAATGCTCGATCTTGACAGATTGCATTGGTAAGCAGAGGAGATTAATTGCTGATAAATTTAAATTTCACCTTTGGCTTATAGCTGTATGACTTGGTTATTGAAGTATCAATAAATAAAAAGGCTATAATAAGAGTTAAATACTTAAATTCACCACAATGAGATCGAGAGTTGTCGTCGTAGCTCAGTTCAGGAGCATTGCGCGTGTACTTAAATGATGGGAATCGACTTCCACTGACGCGACTCTCTTTATTCGGTTTTTTTATTTACAATAGTATTTTGAAGTGCTCGTTTACATAAATAGACCAGAATTAACTAGCTTTCAAGAAAGCGATGGCGTACAAAAAGAATTAAGCTTTTGCTTTAAGACAATCTCATACACAACTTATATTTATACAACCTCATAACTACAACAAAATTTAAAGACATACTGCGTGCGCCGTCGTTTGTAACTAAGATTCCTGCGATTAAGCAACTGGTGTGTTTGGGGAACCTTTCGTAGGTGGTAAGGGATATAGCATTGTGTTGAAATACAATAGTTAGTGGCTCGAGTCTTTTAAAAATAATCCACGCCGCAATGCGCATACTAGTGTCGCTCGCTGCGTGTTGAGAGTTTAAAGCTCCTTGATCTTCCCTTTTACATAGTTTACGTGCGGCCGTGAGAGCTTACTCTTAGCGTAGACAACGTGATCCTCTTGCCTTAGGTCAGCGGCAGTGATGATGCAATGGGCGTCTTCGAGATAATAGAAGCTACCTTTTTTAATTTTCCACATTGACACCAGCTGATGAGCGACACTAGGTAGTATCGCATATGCTGACGCTACAAGAAAGGCGACTTAGACGAAAAGAAAATTCTTTTATCATTTTTGCATAAAACAATCTGCGTGTTGGGGTTGTTGGGCTGTGACATGTTGCTTACATAATGTGCAATGAGCGAGGGCGGTAGTCAACTGGTTAGATATAACCTACATTCTGTTTTAAATGGCGCCTTGGTAACCCTCTCAGAGAAGCCTCATTAACGCCACAAAGAGCAAGTCGTTATTTATCAATAAAAATAAATTGTACTACTGACGCCGTTCGCCTTTAACGGCGAATAAATTTTGTGGTGGTGTCCCAGAGACGGAACATTTACTTCGTGAGGACTTAGTGAAGCGCGTAGTGGCAAAGGTGAAGGCGGAAAAACAGCAATTATATCTGCAACCGTATAGCAACGGCAAACCTTCGTTGCGCAAAAAGCAGGGTCTGTAAGGAAAATGCACTTGGCCAGTCATAATAAACTCGACTGCTTTCCGAGCCTTAATGCCAAGAACCGGTATGCTTATTCGGCATCAAGAAAAAACAGTTCCTGCTTCTTTCTTTAAACTGTAAGCACGTGTCGTCCACTTAATACTTTGATCGATGGATAAGTTGTAAGTTGCCCACTGCTTATAAGGGGGTCATGAGACCTTTGTTTAGCGAAAAAAAAAATAGCGGTATCTTCGAATATCACAGCACCATCGCAACGGAAAGAAGCCGAGGTCATAGTTTATTCGAAGATAAAGCGTAGTCGATCTAACAAGAAACATCTAAAAACAGACACTGCACTAAATCAAATATTTTTATAATTCTTATAATAGTACAACAATCAATAATTAATAACCACAACTGCCGTACACCAAAAAATAGATAATAAACTGTTTATTATCTATACGTTAACGAACACGAGTAAAACAACCACAAACATTAATTTTTCATAGTGCTGATTTTACAGGTTGTAAGTCTCCGAGAACTTGTATATTATAGGCAGCAAAGTAACATAATATAGATATAAAGCCATATAATAGACAATAAAATAAAATAGTAAAAGAAAGTAAAAGTAATAGAAAGCACTATAGATTTATTGGATTATTATAGATCCCAGACGCGCCAAACCCAACCGCGCGACAAATAAAATAAAATTAAAAAAACTGCAGTAGGTGCATGAGCCCAACTTATATTTGCACTTCCCTTGAACACTACCCTCATACTCTAAACAACAGTAAAAATATCAGTGATTAAACCGATCAGTGACTAGAATTTAGTTAATTGAAAAGCAGAATGAAAATATTAATTTTTTAGCAAACATAGAAAATAACTTGAATCCTTTTATTATCTTGGTACAAACTAGCTAAGAATATATTAAAAAACTAATTGGTTAAAATTATTTATTATATAAGATAAATACTTTTTTTGACCTCTTTTCAGGGCATAAGTCCAGAGAATTCTCAAAAGGATGCCCTAGTGGTATGGGGACACGGGCTTAAGTGGGGGGTATTAAGCTGGTGTGATCCAGTATTACCTATTAGGACGAAAGCTTCGCTGATAAGCGCCTTTCCGGGAGGGGCTTAGGGCCTACTTGGATAAGCTAACTATACTGCAAAGGGTTAAATGGTCTATAAGCAGCCTACAGAATTTTCTCCTTACTTGGTGCGAAAAAAATAACCAGAAAATAACTGGGCAAAAAACATGTGTTTGTGACGAAGCAAAGGTAAGATATAGGGGTTATCTTAATCATTAGTTAACATCACTTGTATAATTTTTTTAGTAGTTTTTATAAAAAATTAAAACTGGCCGGAAATATTTTAAATTTTAAAATTTTTTGGTAGCTTTTACTCTTTTATTTTTGAGTTATTCTCCAAAAAAAAAATTTAATTTTTTTCAGTTTTATTTTTCTTTTTACGATCCATCGTCACCATCGGTATTTACTTCAATATCACGATAGAGATGCCGACGAATTTGGTGCCTCCCGTCTCGGTAGAAGTGTATGGCTCAGGCTGCGCTTGGGCATAAGCGAGTATATTCGACTTAAAATGCATTTTATTTGCAACTAAAGAAAATAGAACACTAAGAATCGCTTTGTCGTCGTCTTGTAGGGGAGGGAGGGGTAATGGTAAAAGGTGGCAGGTTTTTGTATCCTTAATAAACTACCAAGAAATGTCCGCGTCCGTTATCGCAATCCTACTACCTGTGACTCAGCTTACTGATGATTTTGCGGTTCCAACAGCCCTTTTTTAATGTGCCTTGAATGTAATATTTGTAAGTTAATGGAATAAATTACTTATACATAACGTGTTTTTTGGAATTAATCTTATTCTTTTTGTAAAAGGTGTAATACAGATCATAAACCAGTCAAAAAATTGCCTCCTTTAAACATATATCTTCATATTTTGTATCCTACATAGTATATAATTACTTTATTAATAATGTTAATTATTTCTTTATCATTTTTGACATTCTATTATGAGCCTAGTTAACTTCATACATATATATTTATGCATCTTTGTTATAATATTATACAATTCCGATAGTCTGTGCACCTTACTATTTCTCATGTTTACATACATATTACTATATATGTATGTATATTTGCTTACTTACTTTAAACACTGATTAAATTTAATATCCTTATATGTATTATATGGGTAGCTTACTATATATAATTTGAATTACTTATAATATTTTTAGTTTAAAAACCTTGGCTACATAACAGGGAATGTAATTAGTCGGCTGGCGCAATTAAATAGCACTGCAGAAGCTGGAACAATAGAAAGGGTGGCTTGACTGCTAATTAAACGCTTTTATGTGAGGCTTTGACACTTAAATATTGTTAGTATTAGGAATGAACAAAGTTTAACATGAAGAGAAAAGTAGACGTTACCTATACTTTACTTCTTGATCGGTCAGATTATATGTCTACTTAAAAAAAAAAGGGTAAAAATATTTTCATATTTATATAAAATAAATTGATCATAAATTTGTTTTAAAAATTAAGGTCTTTCTAATAAGGTCCAAATAATGTAAAAAAAATTAAAATTTATGTTAACTGTTACGGGTTAAATACCCTAAAACCATCATACCGGAATCAAGAGTGTTGTCGTCGTAGCTCAGTGGTTGAGAGCTCTAAAGCATTTTAAAATTGCTCTCATAAAATCTAATAAACTGACCCTGAATACTGTAAAAAAGTTAATTAATGAAAAATTAAACTTTGAATATCTATGTAGAGTTTCTGACGGGTGTAAAGCTCAAGTTGTTTAAATTAGTCATATTTGTGTTATATGATTTGTTTTTTTTTTTAATTTATATATTCATAGGTATTCTTCTGTTGTTTGAATTCGAATTTTTTTTTTCAGTATATGTGAATTATCTTTTTTAAATTTTTAGTTTACTCTCATTAATGTTTAACTTATTATTTTTTTATATATAAATGAGTTTGTTTTTTAATTTTTTTTGTGTTTCCTTAAGTGTTGATTGTTTATTTTTTATTAAATAGAAGAGGCCTGGAGAAATACCAGTGGCTAGTATTTTAATCTGCCACTGTACATTACTCCCAAGTGTGCTAACGATGCAGTCCTTTAGTTAAGTCTTGACCACGTCTAGGAGGACAGGTAGAGGGCTTCAGTTTGTATAGCTGGTCATTGTGCTAAACTCGATTTAAAATGGACGGCACTAATTGTCCATGCCGTCAAAAGAAGAGGATACCGAGCGCCCTTACTAAAACCCCGATCAAATGCTGGTCAGGCATTGCAAGTATCGCCAAACTCTCATAAGTGGCGCATAATAAATGGCTACCAGCTTTTACCGACTGGTACCAATAAACAGATAGGCTAATAATTATATGTTGTAAAAGCTAAGAGCGGTGTTTTTAGCGGGTTCACGATAATCGCCGTCTTTCGTTTAAGAGGAAGCGACGACATTGCCATAGGTCGTCGAATTCGGGTGCGCGGTTAGCTCGAGCGACTTGACTACATAAGGGAAGCCCGGTTTGAAAAGCATTTTGCCTTGTTTACCTCGTCTTCGAAAACAAGGTCGTCAAACTTTATAATAAAGTTCAAAAAAGGCGCAGCTGTCTTCATTTGTCACGGAAATGTGTCTAAAGTGCGGCTTCCG